TATTTCTGCGCTGGACCAATCAAAACCCAGAACTCATTTTAGGTTATTCACAGAAAAATTTGGCCAAATCTACTTTACCCCAACCAATATATAATAATTTCACATTTCATGCTTCACCAAAACAACAAAGAGCATGCTATTTTTGTTAGTGTATGCTTGGAGTTACGCTGCTAATAAGGACACAGAGATACACAAACACAGACACACAGGCATAGATATATACAGAGACTCAAAGCAAAAGCGACACACAGACAGCCGCTCATAGTTGCAAGAAGAAAACAGAAGAAAAAAAAACTGGGCTTGAAGGTGTCTTCATAATGCAGTGACTTTTACTGTGTCACAGCGCATCATTTAAGGGAAGAATAATCTCGCTTTTAAGTGATGTGGAGAGACCTTGAAAATTAAAAGCAGCAACAAGCGAACGCAGCAACCGACAGCAATGTCACAATGTGCCTACTACTATRTATTTATAAAGCTGTGCTGCTGTTCAGATGGCCGACCATACAGCGGCATGTGAACGGCAGACGGCAGTTGGTTGGCCGGCGTGTCGCYTGGTCAATAAGTTAGCCAAGCATTCAAGCGCGCTGCTGCCTAGAGTCTACACTCTAGTAGAGGCAGCTGATGTGTATATTTATGCTTGGCATGTTGGTGTTGTTGTTGCGCGACTGTTTATAAGGTGTGCGACGCAGTCATGTTGCAAGTCGATATATGTACATATGTACATACAGACATGTGTGCAAGATAGCTAACCATGTTGGTCACATGCGACAGGGATGCCCTAACCTGGTAGGTAACAGACGCGCGCTGCTGTACAAAGTCAAAGAGCAGCTGAGCTGAGCGCATGAATTTTAGCGAAATACAAAAGGCAAATAAACGATTTGCTAGAAAAGGTGCGAATTTCTGGCATTCCTTGGCATGTTTTAGGGTTCCGTGCGAAATTTTCAACAAGTGCTAGTCTATAAAAGATATTGTACGTTTCATAACACTGGCAGGCGGGGTTTCATTTTAATTGAAAAAACACGCAGTTCACAAGAAATTCAGTTTAGATATTTAAAAGGCAAGCTAATGTCATTTATAGGCGATAATAATGATTTTCMAAGAAATGTCTCAATGCGTATATGAAAAACTTAAAGTACAAAGTTCGTTAGTGCTTTGAGACAAGCTTTAAAGCTTACAAAGATATTG